AATCCTGACTGACCCCTCCAAACCTCCCAGGACCCCCCAAAACCTCCCAATCCTGACTGGGGGGGAGGGGGCCCCAAATTCCAGAGGTGTCCCTAAAATTCGGGGAAAGATCCTCCAATTCCAAGGGGATCCCCAAAAATTGGGAGTGTCCCCAAAAACCGGGAGGGGGTCTCCCAAATTCCAGGGGGGGTGGGTCCCCAAAACTCGGGGAAGGATCCCCAAATTGGGACGTCCCCCAAAAACCGGGAGGGGGTGTGGGGTGTCCCCAAAACCCAGAGAACCCCCTCAAAAACCCTTCGGGGCCTCCCCAAAAAACTCCCCCCCCCCCAAAATCCCCCCTCATTTAAATAAATTTGAATAAAGCCTTTTTTTTTTGCTCCTCAGGGTTGGTGTTTTTTTTTTTTTTTGGGGGTGGGAGAGGGGTCCCCAAATTCCCCTTTTTTACCCCAAATTCACTCTTCCCCCCCCCTGAATTTATGCGTTTTCATCCCAAATTTCCTCCTTCTCACCCCAAATTTCCCCCTTTTCGAACTCACCCTTGTAAATTTGCAGACCTTCAACCCAAATTCTTTTCGTCTCCGCCCCGCTTTTGCTCACTTCCCCTTTCACATTTTCCCAAATATGAAAACAAAAATCAACGAACTAAAATAAATGTAGCACTATGAAAATATTATAAAAATGTAATGAAACTTGGCACGGGGTTCTGCCTTGAAGGCAATTTACATATAGCGACTCGGGTTATTTTTCGATGGGCAGGAAACCGAAAAAAGTTAAAATTTTAATATTAAACGTTAATACTTAACAACATTAATAGTATCATAATGTAATAATATATAAATAAAACAATATAACTAAAATATCTAAAATTACTAACACCTAATAATTTGATAATTCTGTAATACTTAATATTAATTATTTAATATCAAGTATTTAATGTGTAATATTTAATGTTTAATATTTAATATCAATATTTAATGTTTAATATTAATATTTACTATTTAATATTAATATTTAATATTAACATTTTTTAAAGCCCCGCCCCCCCCACCCAAACCCAATTTTCGCTCGGGTTTCCTTTACGGCGCCGTCGCAAAACCGTCGCGGCGGCGGCGGGGGCGGCGCTGCCGTAAAGCGCGCGCGCGCGGGGGAGGAAGGGAAGGGCAAGGCAAGATGGCGGCCGTGGCGGCCATGGCGGTGACGGGGCGGCAGCTCCCCCGGGCAGGGCCGGGCCCCGCGGGGCTGCACCGGGACTGGACGGCCGAGCCCGTCAGCACCGGCGTGAGTTGCCCCCGGGGACCCGCGGGGAGAGGGGAGGGAGGGAGGGAGGGAGGGACCCCCGGGAGAGGCTGGAGAGGGGTTGCCGG